ACTTAGAACTGCTATTTAGAAATTCATGGCTACTCTAAAAAGAACTCAGTATCATAACTTCCATGTCAATTGAAACATTGACATGTCAGAAGCTGCTGAAAACCATGCAGTTTCTGAAATGTCATTGCTGGTAAATATATACAGCTACTCTGGTAACTAGTATATCACTGGTCTCTCTTATAATGAATGATGTGCCTATACACATCTAGACACATCTGAATTAATAAAGTGGTAAAATGTAGAATTGTCAAATGTTCCTAAGAGACTTTAGAATCCCCCTTCTTAAACTTTAAAAAACTATCAAGTTAAACTATAAACTGGTAAAGTATAAAAGAAAGTATTTTTTTTATTTTGGACAGCATGGATTCCACTTTCCCAGAAAACTCAGAAAATATCACTTTAATGACAGGCCACAAATATGTTTATTTTAAATTTAATGTTCGAATTAGAACAGTCATACAAGTAGAAAGACTGATAGCAGGAAGCATGATATAAAGAAACTTAATTCCAGCCTTTTTCTTAGAAACCTCCATCTCCTAGGGCAGCGAGTAACCACGCAGTTTATTAAAGCAAATGTAATATTTTCCCTTGCAACTTGTGCGCTTTGAGAAATCAAATAATTTATACGGTAATATTATCACTGCCCACAACAAGCAAATACTGTACCTGCAGAACTGTTACGTTTTTCCTCTTTCATGTACTCCTGTCTGAAGCTCTTGAACTAGATATTACAAATGTTATTGCCTTTTCTTAGGAGCCCATGGTAGATGATAATATGCATCGAGTTCCTCCTAGCTCTGTAGAACTGCTCATTTCATGACCTTGGTTCAGTGTGAATCTATTTAAGCTTCTCTCCTGTCGGCATCTGTTTTTCTAGTTCAGATGTGGAGAGCCAGGTGTGAAAACGTCTGACAATGACAGCTAGCAAGTCATGGAATGATAGGGCTCCGTGGGGCCTTCTGTTGCTACCCATATCCCTTTTCTACTCATTTAGAATAGAAACACATTGCTTTACAGCACACAGAGGGAAATAAACTATTTCCTTTCAAAACTAATGACATTTTGAACCTTCTGGTAACAAGCTGGAAAATCATTTTTAATAAAGAAAACATTTAATTTTATCATTTCCCTTTATCTAAAAACATATAGCGACAGAATTTATCATTAGTTGATAATCAAAGTCATATAGAACAAATAACATATTAATAAGTGCATTGTTCCGTTATCTTCAATTTCCAGGAAACAAAATGAAGAGGTACTGTATGTAAAACACACAATGATGCTACTGTATGTACTGAAGTACCCATAGCAAAGATGACTGAAGTACAGTATTTCAAGCACAGTAGACGTTTAAAAGAGCATGTGGATGATTTATACTTTACCTGTCATAATGACTCTTGCTATCTGAGATGCCTCGTACATGAAACTTTTTAAAAACTCTAATATTCTCAATTGAAAAGCAGTACAGTATTTGACTGGAAGGCATTAAGTCTTCAGACCCTGATGTTTTTAAACGCCAATGTGCATTACTTACAATCTGAACATGAAAGAGGTCAGAACACAAATAGACTTTCAATGGTCTTGGGAGCTATCGAACCTTACATGATGTTTTATTATAAAAGATAAGCAAAAAAAAACTTAAAGAGGTTACTGTAAGAAACCATACAATTGATGTAATGCACAGAGAATTCTGGTAAAATTAAACTAGAATTCTAATAAACTGCTATATCAAAACTGATTGAAGTTAGCAAGGAAACACATGAAACTTTTAACACCATTTGATTTATTCTTCTATATTCTTTTTTCAGAGTGCCAGTGGAAGAGCCATTAAACTTACTTAGACAAAACACAGAATTTCTATGAAAGAAGACTTTCTTAATATAACCACTATAAGGGGCTATGCACTGTGACTTCTTTTCAATTCACTTGTTGAGATTACTATTGATTAACAAATGATTCCTTTTATCACTCACATGGAATAGTATAAGACCAAATAAATTGTATATATGGTCTTGAAGAAGAAAAATATTAGCAGAGAACAATGCTTAGAGAAGTGTCAACCACTTCCAATTATTAAACTACTTTTAATCCAATACTTCTCAGTTCAATTTCTTGTTAAGAAGGCACTGAAGGTAATTTAAATTGATTTTTAAGTCCTTCAATTACACGTAATCTGGCACACTGGTTACAGTTCTTGAGAAGGGAAATGGAATTTTTTTTATCAGTGAAAATACCATATGCAGGCTCAGAATGTGAAGCCTGAAATAATGACCCAAACGGCAATGTGTGGATAACTAAGCATTTTACAGAGATTTTGTCATTCTAAACAGAAAAATAATGAAAAAAATATATATTCTGAAGTTGTTTTAAAATGAAATCATAGCTCTGCTGAAGTGAAATGAGGAGAAAGGCCATTTCTTTCAGGTGCACACCTATCGACGCAATATTACGCAAAGTGCAATGACATTCAAGGTCTGCGAGAAGAAAGTTCATTGCCACAGGACAACACAGCCCAGATTAGTAGTTACTAAAGGAACTGGTCAATAAAATACCCAGCTGCCCACAGCATTTGCTATAACTCTAGAAAGCAGAAACTTGTAAATGTTGCTAGAGAAAAGTCCCTGAAAAACACAACCACTACATCCAATTTACAACAGTATTGCTATTTTATGAACTAATATATTTCTTGTGACCCGTAAATTACACAATAAATAAGCACTTTTGCCACCCCAACCAACATGACCCCATTAACCGACAAAAAAACAGAGAAAAAAGCCAGAGCCAAGGATTTCACAATAACAACTCCTGTAGTTTGAAATCATTCTCTATATCATTAGAACACATTTCAATTAGAAAAAAAAACATTTCAATAGTACGAAAGTCAAAAAGGTTGCTCCATATACGTTTAAGCTCATAACATCATCTATCAGAACATCTCTGTGACTGCAAAATACTTTTAATAATATACTGTAGTTGTGAACAATCTTTCACACCCGAAAGTTAACATTAGAAATGAAAAAAAGAGGACAATTATTTAATCTACACATAAATGTATGGTATTGCCTCATCTATAGTGTATGTTACTAGTGCGATGATTTAAAGCAATAACATTTGCATTAATTTTAAATGACCTCTACTTAATCCTTGCTGTTCTAAAAGCAAAATAAATCCAAATAAAATAACTCAGTGCAAAACTGTATATTAATGACCTATAAACCCTAGCACTCTAATGGTCATTTTGCTTATAGGAAAACAGTGCTCAAAGACCATGAAATAACCAATTATTTAAGCATTTGTCTTATTTAAGTGGCTGTTGCATTGCTGCCGAGCACAGGAATACCTTACCTTGATTTTTTTTTACAAGAAATCGCTGGAGAGAGAAGAGGATACATTCCCTTTGCTAATAAAGAAGACATATTACAAGCATTGTTATCTAGCCCTCAAACAAAAAAGAAGGACAATATTGTCTGTTGACAAATGCAAGATCATTAGAGCACTTGCAACATTAGTTTTCTAGAAGTGTTCTTGATTCTTTCGTATAGATGTCAACCAAATGCTTGTACCACGAGTATCAAATTCTCCTCTTCCCCTTTCTTATATTCTCTGGTGAACGACACCGAGCTCCCTTCACTTGATCCTTCTGAGGTCTCCTCTCTCAGATTCTGTAACAGATAATTTATCAAAATGTCAGCTTTCTGACAACAGACTATTTTTGCATGCAAACCTGTAAAAGTCAGTTTGGGTACTGTGCTTCTGAAGGATTGCGGGAGTCCAGTGGGGCCTCTCTTCTTGTGATGCTTAATAAATTTGCCAAATTAACAACTCCGTCTGCTTCTTTCTGTCCTCCTTCTGTTCCTACTTTCCCACCCCGTTCCTCTCTTTGGGGCAATATTCAGTATCTGGTCTAGTCCATAGATTGCTGGTCTTGGCTCTTCATCTTCAATCACAGTCTGTAAATGATGAAATCAATCACACGATAGATACCCTGAAATCACCTTCATTTATTACATGTAGAATTTCACACTTAATACACAGTAAAGTCTTTGCCACAGAAGAAAAGAATATAGTGTCTTTTTGGCCATGCTCAATCAGATCATCACACATCACTAAGCACATTTTTTGAGTTATGAAGACTGTAAGGCTTGCTAGGAAGCCATTCCATCCTGTCTCTCAATTTAACCTTGATGGGAAAATACATTATTCTTAGACACTTGGGAAGATCCCTTACCTCCTTCCTACAGAGGATAGTACTAAAATACTGTATATCTAGTGCCATTTTTTTTTCTTTAGAAAGAATGCAATGAAACATTAACACAATATTTGGTAATTAAAACAAAAATGTTAATATTAAGTTTTTAAAAAATAACCTAGGTCTATACACAATTATTTACATGCTTGATAACTTATCCATTTATGTACAGTATGAAAAATTAAATCGTGGCTTTCGGCTTAGCATACGTGTACGCTATATGTTACATTGTACACATAATTCTATGCAGTACTTTTCTAGGTATTTTCAATAAGATAACATGGTGCATAATATGCAGCAACTAAAATGAATAAATGTGCAAATAATTTATTGAGACACTGAAGGTTAAGAGATCACAATAGGAAAAAAAGTCTTTATGAATGTTTTAAATCTTCCCTCCCCAGAAAATGCAGTTACCCTAGATCATCCTATACTAAATTATTACAGTACAGAATAAACTGTCTGGATGCTGCAGAAGAAAAGGCATTTGATTGCAGCAGCATAAGAAATTATGTAAGCTTTCTGTATTATTTCCAGCTGTAAAGAATTTATTTGATTCAAAACAGAACTTACCTGATACAAAAGGGAATGCAGTGAGAACAAATGAAACAGCCTCAACAAACACCCTATAAACATGTACAGTTTGCTAAAGTCTCGTACAGTACATTAAATATAAACAAAAACAGCTAAACCTAAAAAATACATTAACACAGAAGTGTGGTCATACATATTGTACAAACAGAAACACACATCAAAAGGGATATGAAATGTTTATTCCAACCAAAATTAATTACTAAAACATGTTTTATTAAAGGCAAGATAGATAACATTCCTTACAACAAAGCATCAGAGCAGCACATTTTGAAACTTGCTGGTGCAGTAACCAGATTCAATGTGTGAAGCACAATTATCAAGCTGTGCAGAATATTTATATTTTCTTCAAAATCAACAAGGGAATTTAAAAATAAGTGTTAATAAAAAGGTATGCCTTAAGGCCTTAGTTCCTTTTCCACAGGACAATTTGTTTTTGTTCCACTCTGCAAAAATACTCCCTTGTTCAGTACACAGGCAGAACATTAAATGTCCCCCCTTGAAATAAACAGGGAAACAGAATTCTGATTGAATTGCTGAAAACACACTGGCCAACATAAATGAAAAGCCATTGAAGAAAGCCCACTGAAGCATCCACACTACAAAATAACACAAGCCTATCTCATTTAAGTTTTTCCAGACAGGTTTTTGAAATATTCATTTTTTTTATTTGAAACGGGGTAGAGGAGGATTAAATGTTGCTCTGTAAGTGATATAGACTACAAAAAAGTACATTTACAAGTAAATCAGACAAAATTGTCAGCATGGATTAGACTGTTGTTGAAAGTAACCTCTAGAATATGACCAAGATACTGTAAATCTGGCATTTGGTTCAAAAAACATTCTTTAAGATGAATACAGTCTAAAAGAAAGCATTAAAATGGCACAAACCTAGAAATAGGTTTACAATGATATGGGATGTTATCAATTAAAACTGCATTTTATTAAGTGAAAAATAAACCCAGAATTCTAAAATGCCTCTAATTTAAAGGTAAAACTTGATCACTTTACCTTAAGATTTGAAGGGAACGTTCTATGATCAAGATGCATCATCTAGTTCTAGAAATATTGCAACACTAACTTTGAGGATCACACATTAAGGCATTAATTGGTGAAATTCAGAATGGAATTGGTGCCTTTTTCACATTAAGGCAATCAAATCTACTTTACAGGTTACCACCACAAGGAGTAGCAAGTCTGAGTAGACTTTAAGATTATATTTATAAATTGTACATAACACTTAATTTAACCAAACACTGTCTCTGAATTAATAGAAAAACATCTACAGAAAACTTCAGTTTTGTTAAAGATTATAAACCTTTAGAAATTAGAAAACATAGAAACTGTTCACAGTGATGCATAGTACTTAAAAGGGAAACAAGTATTGTTTAATTTTTTATTTAACTTGGGGTTAAAAAGCACAATGATATGACTATATTTAACTGTTCTTCAGTTTTCTATGATGATATTACGTCTTCTTACAACTTGCCGACTGCTGTCTGGTTCACTTATTCCATTTGAACAACTGGAGGTTTTTTTTGCTGACTTTAATAAAAGGAATGATTCCAATATTTGCAGCTTAACTAATGATTTAGAAACCAATTTTTTTCCCCCAGAAAAACACAAAGCAGACCTACTCATTAAGTATGCATTTAGCACTGCTCTTATTAAGGAATCAACGTGAGAAAATAATGAGTTCTTTAATTAATTTTATGCAAAATGCTGCCAGTGGCATTTCCATTGAGGTCACTGAGTGTATCAGAAAAAATGGAGAGACTGGTTATTTCTTGGCGATGCTGGCTACAGCCTTCTGTGCAGCATCGTCCAGGTCATTGGCGGAGGTGATGGGCAGCCCACTCTCACTCAGGATGCGTTTGGCCTCCTGGACATTGGTTCCTACAAACCAAAACAGAAACCTTTAGTTATGGGCAAAGTACTGAATGAACACAACTAAAATTCAAAAGGACAATCACAACATATCTGAAGGTCTCTTCGCAACACAAAATATGTTTTTTTTCTTTCCTCTTTAGGAATGGGTATCCACTGTAGGTGTGGATGAGAGAAAAGTAGAAGGGTTTGTTTTGTTCCGGTTTCTGATTGCTGTTTTTTATTGTTTATAAAAATAAAAATCTTATTCAAATCTATTATTTTCGTTCAACAACTTGACATAGATGTCTCGTAAATGTTACAAATATAGGGTGTTCAAGAAATGGCTCATGCTATTTTAAATAATTATTATTTTCATGTTATTTTTATTTGACTCCATTCACAGAGCAAGACTACAAGGAAGAGATGGTAGCACCAAAACCCCAGTTTTTTGTACCGCCCATGTCAACTGTCAGGTGTTGGCAAGATGGCAGCCAAAACAGAAAAAAGACACTTTGATCATCATTTTTCTGCTTTTGAGATAAGTCCTGCTTTCTAGTTTAGACTGGTAATCTGCATGCTTGTTTAGTGTTAAGAGAAAGAAAAAAAATCAGAATATAGATTTTTCTGTCATTGCACAGAAATGTAGTGGGATTGCGATCAACAATCATATTCATGAAGACTCTGCTTACCAGAGTTTGCGTTAAGCCAAGAATCTGGAGGTAATGTCGACTGTTCTACAGAAAGGTCTACAGTGTCAGTAGTCAGTAGGAAAATCTACTAGCCAATGGATTTTAAGGGCAAAATGGGTCATGAGCCTCAGGAACCACAAAATTAAAATTGATGAATAGATAATTGTTAGAGCAATGGGCTGTAACAATGCAAATAAGGGTAACGCACACACTGAAAATATACAAAATAACTTGTGCATTTGAAGGAATTTGCATTACATTCAAAACACAGTATGTTCCCTCTTAAAGTACTTGAAAATATCCCATAAATTTTTAAAGATTAAAAAATCAATTCTGACTAAACAAATCGAACAGGAGAAGCACTGCAAACACTGATTCCATTGTCTTTTCATAAGCTTCTCCACAGTGCACATCTATTAATTGTAACATTTCCAACTTCCCAAATCTGGTTCAAAGGGACATTGCCAATCATAGGAGTGCCAGTAAATCATATGAGACATTGTAGGGAGTGAGGAGTTTCACACCGTCAAACTGCTGAATGGTTCTCATTAAAGGAGAAACATCCAACCAAATGAGGATAGATTAATTGAAAGAGATGGCAAACTGTCAATCATATTCAAAACCTTTCAGTTTGGGTAGTGCTGCAACGAGCCTACTCATATTTAGACACAATGTTCAAAATGAATTTTCTGTTTGCAAAACCAGAATGCTATCTGTTGAATCAGAATAAAATTACCTTATAAATATGTTGTAGTAGACATGTTTTAACTGTTGTGGGATCTAGTAATCACAAGGTAATGCAATCATTACAGGTACAGCAAGGCTAGTGACACACTTCAGTCTACAAAATCTCTCTCCAACATATAAATAACTAAACATAAATAATCTTGAAATTCTGGGTTTGCTGCACAAATCTGCATTTCTCATCATTATCAAGCAGATTTTCTGGTACATGAAGCAGAGAAATATGTGATTTACGGAAAAAAAACATAATAATGCATTTGATTTCGATGTGCTTTTGAAATGTAATTTTAAATCTCTGAGATATATATAAATATAGGTTCTGAATTAAAAAAATACAGCAATCTCTCCTGACTGATCACATGGGTTTCAGTAACTTCACTTATACAAATCCATCCATCCATTATAAAAATGCCACTTATTCCTGTTAGGTAACATTGACCCTATTCCAGAACACAGGGAGCGCAGACAATTATCTTTCAGTCTCTTTGAAAGATTGGATTTCTTTTGCTTCTCTTTTTGTCTTCTCTGCAACTAGTGGCTCATTGTCTAAATTGTATGCCATCTTGTGCAAGAAGCTACGCAGTGGAAACAAGTGTCAATCCCATTTTAAATGCAATGATGCTTTTACAGGTGAATGCAATTCTTTTGTATAACGTGTGCAGATTTGCATATTGCAATCTTTTCCAGCCAGACGCCTACCTTATTTATCAAGTATTTATTTATGAGCAGTCTGTTCAAGGAGACCTTGGGAAAACAGCATGCACCCGCAAACGCAATTGGATTTCTATTTCTTTTGTATGAACTTGGTACAGTTATATCTTTTTGGAAAGGCGTATTGCGGAAAGAGCAGTGCATGAACTAATTCACATGAAGATCAGATTGGTTTTGGTTTCTAAACTCTATTGTTAGCACTCACATTTTTTAAACACTAAACATTTTAAACTTTGTTAAGGTAACAACATAGAGGATAATTCCTCCAAACAGCCTCATTCAAATCTACTGAGTTCTCTGTATTCCCAGAGTTTCTGCGGTCTTCATTTTGGTATTGCAGGCCACAAAACCCACACCTGTTTTCTTTTTGTAAAGCAAGCTGTTATCAGAGGGTAACCAGCCCTTTGAAAGACTATTCATATTTCACAGTTTTTATTTTTACTGTTTAAAAAGTAGGAGCAAATTCAAAATCTCATTAAGTCCCTTACAACAATCAATTCTGTTCATGTAATATATTTTACATGGCCAGTGATCGAAACAGTAAACACTAAAATATTTTTTTTTATTTTAAAAAATTGTTTAAAAAAGGAATTGTACAGTTCTTTGATTCAATGCAAAACTAATGTACTGTACTTCTATAAAATGACAACCTTCTTTCATCTAATTACAACAAGTTTAAGGTGAATGTTTTCTATTTTTCCAACATTTCTGTATTTCTGTTGTCTAGTGATATTTCTGGGAGAAGACTCTTAACTTTATATTACAGAAGGTGGATGCAGTGCACTACCAAGATTATTTTTCAGACCGACTCCTGTTTTAAGTCCACCTGTTTTAAAAATGCATGATGCACATCTGCTAAGAGGATTGCCTTATTTAAATTTACATAGAACCCAAACTATGCTGTCATTCTCTGTTAGCCACAAGTGTGTATTATTTGTTTTGAACACAGGCTGTGCATGACAATTCTACCTAGAAAAAAAGACATTACTGCGTACATTTGCCTAGTCAAATTAATTTTGTACATAGGTTATTTAAAAAACAATCCTATAAATGATATTTCAAATCCTGAATAAGCTTTTGACAGTTAAATCCAACATTAAAATTAAAAACCTTTAAAGTAGTTTAAGATAATTCTAGTACACAAGAGTGCTCACTGGGCTCTTTGAAGGTCTGGCAGAATTCATGACAAGAGTTTTACCATTAACCTCCTGCCACTGGGTGGTGGCAGAGATCTATTTACAATGCTTTCTGCAGTGTTTTAAGAGCGCCATGCCTATACTTAGATTTATCAACCAGGGAGGATACATCACAAATTTACTATGAATAAGGAAGGTATACTTTAACATTTTTAAAGTTAAGTAACAGGTTTTTCCTGTATTACTTTTATGTATGAACTTTGAAATAGAAAGATGTCTTCTCAAAGTTTATTTACATGGGTTGTATAAACACTGACAGTAAAACAGATGGCAGCAATTTATCTATGAGCAGGTAAACATCATAGATCAACAGTGCTTTGGAGGATATGTACTATAACTTAATAATATTTAGGAAAATACTGTTAGGTTAAATGTTCGTAATTATAGCACAGTATGGATTCTTCTACGATACACAACCTATTGCTCTTAAACATGGTATTAAAATAGATATAGAGTGATTTAAACTTTCCCACAAATACTGTATATGCTCAGAGAGAGACAGACTTACTTCAGCAACTTTTTATGTGAGCCACTACAGTATGGCTCCATGCTCTTTGCAGAAACTGGATATAAAATGTTAATGGCTGTGTGTCATGTATATGAGGGGGTCCCATTAGCTTAACAATTTTACTCATTAAAAGGCTGTTCCAGAAAATCGTGCATTTAATAATTCCTTTAATATTAACTCTGTCTTACAAAGTAGATAAATATGAAATCTATATTCTTACAGGCTGAGCAGATGAAGGAAATACTTCTACCTGCAAAATTCCCATAACCTGCAGCTGCTGAAGCCCAGAGGCAACAGGCCTTCGCTATCTTTTTTCCTTTATGTGTGATCTGCAGTTTTAGCTTGAGTGAACATCCTCTGTGCTCTTGCCTCCAGATAACTCAATTACATCCATAATGATATTGTCAGTGGTTTGGAAGTCATCATGAACAGACCTCAGGAGCAACGCTGTTCTAATCAAGTTTGAAAACTGTGATATCCTAAGAATTCCTTTAAGGACGAATCGCTAACATTTGGGAAAACAGCAGCAAAAATGAATTATTAATTGAAAAATTCAATAAAACTGAGATCACTTTAAAAACTTAATTTCTTCACAGAAACTGGACATATGTACAATAAGACATCTAGCCCATTCACATATAATAATATTTTGTGAATATGTTAAAGTGCAGAAAAATAAAGAATATTTAGATGTTTATTTTTCTTTAGCTATTTGCCACAGATAAAGTGGAGTGTCGTCTAAGGTAGAAATGATTTTTTTGTGAATGAACAGTCATTCTGATTCACCTGTTTAAAAGTGTATTACATTTGCCTTGTATCCTTACAAGTATGGTGTTATGTAATGGGCACGTAATAGAACAACAAACTTAAATAATCTCAATGACATTTAGAGGCAACAGCAATGGCAAGACAGACTAATGTCTGGCATAACAAGTGCATTGCTGCATTGTAGAAAAAAAATAATATTCAGAGACATTGTTGTTCGCATACATGCAAGAGCTAAACAGGCCAAAAGAGAAAGCAATGACAAATGCAAAGTTAAAGCAGTTTGAAAGATAAAAAACGCCAGACCAATCGCTGTAACTACACAGGATGATTCCCTTGCATTCAGATCTAATCCATACTCCTACTACTCCTATTTTTTTACAAAAGCAATCTTGCATCTGGTTCACAGATGAACTGAGTGAAGGCTTCCAATTAATAACGTGCAATTTTCACACAGCAGGGTAATCTCTGGTTTATCCTCTTGCAGAACAGCTTGCAATTACAATCCATTGAGAAGAGACTCTTGTCAAAAAATCCTTCTTTAAGCTGAACAGATTTGATTGATTCTAAGTGATTCTCCATTCAAATGCTGTACTTTATAATGACTAGTGTAAAACCTTGTCCTAAATACTCCAGCAGTGAGACTTAATTTGGTGGCGATGACCTGCTTCGTATGAATGGCATTCTGTCGGTGACCTTCTTCCTTGAGAAACCTCCAATTAACTAAAATCCCATTCCAGTACCAGATGTGATTTCAATTAAAAACTAAAAAAAACATACTCGGTGTGTCTTAAAACTCTTTAGAAGAGAGCTGGCTCAAGACAAAGCCCTGAAATTCTGAATAAATCACACCATGTTTCAATTTCAACATCATAAAAGAAATTAACCTGTTTATGGTTCACAGCAGTACCTGACAAGTTTGAGCTCTTAGGAGTTAGTATGAAAAAGCCAGCATCTTCTTCAATACTACTGTATATTGAACACACAATTCATCAGTTTATATAGATGGCTGCTGTCTGCACCCCACACAAATTCTGTCCTTTGTAAGTAAGGACAAAAAGCACTCTAGCGTGATAAAATCCTCAGCATTTACAGGCTGCCATTTTGTAGACAGCTTCATGTACCAATCAATAGGTAGTAAAGACATTAAACACTTCCAGATGAATAATCTGATAGCCAATACCTCTGTTGTGATTCGGGTGGAAAGTGAGGAAAGAAAAGATTATTGATCAGGCTCGTGTGTTACCCTTTAAATTTAAGACCTAAAGGTTTCTGGCTGATTGCAAAGAATTACACAGACAGAATTAGTCAATTCACTAATTTGATGGTTTTTTTCTTTTAGAAAAAAGATTGAACAATGAATACGTAACGCCTGTGATGCTATTTAAACTTTTTCTAAATACAATTTCAGGTTTAATGTTAGTCAATGCAAAGATGTAACCATCCATAACTTCAGAAAATCTCATTTTCAAATATTAACATGTTAAAAATCTGTATTTTAGCACAAAAACAGAACTTGGTTTCAAAAGCTTCTCTATTTGAATGTGGCATTTACTTTATAGAAACCACACGTAACAATAATACAGTTTCAGCTCACTTAGATGTTAGTAATATTAAAACTCTACAAGAGAGGGGTAATTTGGGCTTTATTCGTTTAAATTGAATTTGCATTCTTAATGTTCTGACACCAGAATGTCCATTTAATTTACTGTATTTATACTTTCCAGTAACATACCAAAAATGCTGTATCAGTAATTGGTAAATGACGTACAGGAAACCGCAGAAAGATTGGGTAATCAATATAGTTCTCTTCTGTAGTAGTAAGAGTGGGATCCAGAAGGAATTGCATAACTTTTGATGTGCTTTAAAAAGGTTGGAAAGGTTGTGTATAACATACCGTACACAGGAACACTCTGTACTGTGTACAGTATATGAGCTCACCTTCAAGCCTGACAACTAAAGGCACCTTCAGTTCCAGTTCTCTGCAAGCTTTAGTGATTCCATTGGCAATGATGGCACAATTCACTATCCCACCAAAGATGTTGACAAGGATGGCTTCAACCTAAAAAGGAGAGAAAACGACACCTTAAATATTCCAACAAAAGAACAAGCATTTCAAACCATACAGTCGCAATAAAAAAGACTCTTAAGACTTAGATTAAAAATCAAAACCTAATGTGTGGAGGAAAAATGTTTCAGTCCAGAGGCCACAGACAAATCCAATGTCATTTTACCATCGTAGAACTGAAAAAGATTTGTTTAATGTGGGTTGCAGTTCTCAACTTTACATTTAGCATCATCTGAACAATTCCATATGTAGCATCATAAATGCCATGTAAGATATTCCTAAATATTTCAGAACAGCTTCTTCATTGACTCACTTTCACAGTTTCATATTACTAAAGCAACTGCAAAACAAAGAAAACTAGCCTTTATAAAAAAAGCAGTATTTAGTCCATCTACCAGTATTTTGGCCACATTTTAACTCAGTCATTGTAAGTCTAGTATTTCTATGGATGGTCATTTAGAATCATTGTTACAAAACAATTGGCTGCTGAGCTGGGTGAATACAGTTCTTCGGGAGCTGCGTCAAAACACATTGACAATACAAAGAATGTTGCCAAATCATGGTCCGACAGTACTTCAATGATAGATAAAGGTGAAGAGCTAACATCTGATAAACTACTGTTAACTTCTGAGGTATGGATATGCTAGAAGATTGGCTGAGAGCTCTGCCAGAATCGAATAACTGTCACAGTTCTTTCTGCCTAGCTATGAATTTTAGCCTTTGGCTCTCTACTGAAAAGTGTGAGATATTGACAGAAGAAAAGAGGCTTTTAAGAGCCAGAGAAATACAGCTCCCGAAACAGAAACACATCAGTAACTGTAGAACAATCCCCCACTTCATACAGTAACACATACAGCACTGGAATGAAACTTTTGTGATATACTGAAAATAAAACAAAACTAACAGTTAACTTTACGATCTATTACCTATTGTAATGCTTGTAAAGAAATCTAATAGGAATAATTTCTCAATGTGTTTTATAGGTCTTTGATAGACCTACTGCCTAACAACACTAGTCCACTATGAAGGAATGTGATTCCTACAATGCGAACTTCATATTACTAGTATACAATCACTGGATACATATCTAGAACCCCCTCGCCCAACCAAATATCATAAACAGCCTGAATTGGAACTGCATGCAATCCACAAGAACTACCTAAAGCCCAATTCCACCTCATTCTTCCAACAAGGTTTTTATGGTTGAATTTGTGATGAATGTACTTGGTTTCAACTGAATGGTCCACCAAAATAATAAAGTATATTGTTCTGTCCAAAAATGGTGATGGAAAGCTGTGCAAAGTTCCTCAAACTAAGACAGTGCCTGCAACTGAAAGTCTCTTTATTTGACTGTTTTAAGTTAAATTAAATGTGTACAATCAAACCTATCTGTTGCTTGTAGATGCTGTAGTGTAGAGGTTGCACAAACGTTTTAAAGCAGGATTTTAACACATGGTATTTTGTCCTTATTTAAAGATGAATGCATCATTATTCTAAAGGTAGGAACATAACGGGCTTACAGAGTGGATGGTTCTGAATCAGATATTTTACTGTTCAATTTAGAAGTGTATGGAGTTCAGAATTCATTCTTCTTAAGAGAATGAATATTTCATCATTGCAGTACTGCTGCATTTATTTTGAAAAACAAGAAAATCTAGGAAGCAATTTGATCATGACTGACTCTCCATACTGTAATTACTGAGAGCAGTTGTCTGAAGAGCAAAGTGTAGGAAGATAGGATTAATTCCACATGTTTATTTATAATCTCTGCTAATCTGTTAGACACATTGCACAAGGCATATGCTAGCTATTTGGTTGTAATGAAGTTTAGATCTTAAAGAAAAAGTCATGGGTTATACATGGCATGAAGGCTTAGCAGTGAAATTTGTAACCACCCACTAAAAGGGCTGTCTTTCATTGTTAACATGATGTGGTTTTTGGAATCCGATCCATTTGTGGATGTATTTATGAAACATTGAAAGTAAAAGATTGAATACATTAAAAGGATTTCAGACTGCTCTCAGTAAATGGTAAAGTATTCAAATACACTTAACAATACAATATTAAATACCTTAACTTGTTACGATCTGTAAGTGATGTAATTGATGTAATATGATCATTTTCCAAAAAAATACACCCTGGAAGAAAATGTTATATGATCTACAAAATTAATCACATGGCTCTTAATTTAAAGGCAAAGCACTTGCTCTTCTTGAAAAAACAAACAGCATCATAGAACAGATAAATATGAATTATTTGAGAGTCGTCTTTGAGACACATACTTCTCTTTCATTGCTTTTGCTATTCCTAATAATATAAATTATTGCTAAGGTTTGAAAACATACCCTGGATACAGACATTTTAGTCACTACACATGACTGAATATATAGAGTGATTGGTGCCGTTCATTTAAAAAAACAAAATGCACAATGTATTAATTATGAGATCAATTTATCTCATATTAGCCCAATTCCTGGGGAGGTTCAATGTCCCAAAGATATGAAACAGTGTCACTTCAGTTGTCTTGCACACACTGATGTAATTTATACATCAAATCTATACATTCAAAGAATTCTAGAAAAGTATGAATATTAGTATCTAGCATTAGTAGTGGTCTCCTTCACAGAGCATCATTCTAAACTCCAGATACGGTCATTATGAATTAACATTGATAAATAAAGACAAAGGATGAGGCTTCGGTATAAGTAGATATCCTTCACTGCACAACTGATCCTTTAACTTATCATGCGTGACATGGAATAACACCTCTGATAACCAACATAGATGCTCATCACCTGGATGCTCAAGGAAATCTTATATCACCACATAGACTTGGGGAAATGTCAATTTTGTTTATGAATAACATATTACATTATGCAAGCTCTGAGCAGTTACCCAGAAACAAACACTGCACAGGCTGAGAAAAAGTAGGGATTGTGGGGGATTTGGTCCCTGTGTAGACATCCCCCTCCCACTGATTGGACTCAATCTTAATGCAAAAACTAATTAGGCTAAAGCCTTTCTTATCTCTCTCCGACACCAAGCCTGATGGTGACATATCTGGCTAGCACTAGTCACTAAACGTACTTGGGTGACTATGTAAGAATGCCAGATCAAAGCAAGAAACCCAATATTGTTTAAAAAAAAGCTCATGTTTACGATCAAGTTATACAGCTAGTTTTTTCCTCTTAAACTGAAACTGGAGAAATACAGACTACAATTACATAATTTTTGTCACATCATCAAGAAGTGAAAATACTATGTGACAAAACCCTTATTGCCCATTTTAGCTTGCTCCTTGCCCATTAAATATTTTATCACAATGCCATCCACGTACAGAACAAATTCCCAGGCAATTCAAAGGGCCAACAGGTAAAGTGCTGATATACACAGACATTTAAACATGAATCAAAAACCAGACAAATACAGTGGGAAGGTCAGCTTTCTTCTCCCTTCTGATCATTGTCACATAAATGTTAACAACTTCGATCTGTCTAGCTGGGGAATAAAGGTGGACATCAAATTAACAGAAAAATAATGAAACGCATTTATTTCACCTTTTAACAATAAACTGGAAAACCATGATTATGGCTAATTTTCTTTGAATGTAACCATATTATCATAATCATCATCGGGTCAGTTACTCCTACTGTATCTTGCACTGTACTCTTTTTAATATAACAGGTTATGTGCGGATCTCTATCATTACGATGGTCGCTCCTTACATGATCTGTGTAATAAACTTACCTTACAGACAATGCAACTTTTACAGATTTTTATTATTTTTAAAGTTGTTTATGACCAGCTAATTAATATTTAACACAAAGGACATATTGGACGGAGCGGTGGTTCTGTGGCTGGAAGGTTGCCAGTTCATATCTGGGGGCCGGCAGAGGAATCCTACTCCGTCGGGCCCCTGTGCAAGGCCTTAACCCCAACTGCCCCAGGAGTGCCATGGCTGACCCTGGGCTCTGACCCCAAGCTTCTTTCCCTGTCTGTGTGTCTCACAGAGAGCAATTTGTGGTATGTGAAAAGACAAATTCCCAATACAAGAAATTGTATATGGCCAATAAAGTTATCTTATACAAAGTTTAAAAAAATTACTGTTTTCTTGGAGACTCACAAATAATTTTCTTTCTAGCTTTCACTTAAAAAATTAAGTGGTACGGAAACACTAAAAGACCACATGCATATAAATAACCTATAAGGAATAACTGTATTATTGTCACTTTCTTCTGTGTTTAAAATGGAATTCCATTTTTTTTGCCATGGGGAACATTCATTTACGTTAATCCATATAAAAATAAAAATACATACAAAAATGTAACAATTAATTTAGCTTGAACATGACATTGCTTTATGCAGGAACACAGTTTACTGTACAACTATTGACTGTTTTTTCACTTCTCTTTGTTACTTCTTCAGCAAGGTCATACATTAATCTATTTCAACTGTCAGATCTCAAGGAGAATGACAAAGTCTTCAGGCGGAGATCTTCTTCATCACTGTCACCCCTGAATGATATCTGACAATTTAGCTTGTGATATACTGACAATATTCTCTCTTATATTGTAAAACCTTTAAATATTAAAGCAACACTCACTGTGCAGAGCTACATGATGCCTTCAAAATCTCTTTTTACTTATTGTCTTGTCAAACCTCTTAAACAGTAAGTTGGTCTACTCTATGCAGGGGTAAAACATCCGTAATGGTTTTCCATACCAAGATGGTACGTTTATTACCATGATGACATATGTTTACAGTGTCTGCTTCACAAATACAGGGATAAATTACTCAAAACACAACCATAAATACCTACTCACAACATTACGACTTACAACATCAGAGATGTGATTTATCTGTAGGATGTTGGTGTTGATGCCTAAATAATGTGGCCATAAAACACATTTGTGTCCACAATACTGTACATAGAAAAACATAGCCCCCAAAATGTAAGCCAATCAAGACAGAGCTGTTTAGTGTTCATGTTCTCT